TCATGCTACTCTCGTCAGCGCATCTACCGGTATGTCGCCCTTTGAAGTTGATACTGGACGCAAAGAACGGAATCCGTTGAATTCTTTGAGCAATCCCAGTACCATGACTCAAATTCAGCGTGGAATTGTTGAATATGCGAAACAGTTCCAAGCCAAACGCCAAGATATCATTGATTTGGCAAAGACGCATCTTCTTCAAGCCCAAGAACGTCAGAAGAAGTACTATGAAACGAAGCGATCATCGATCACATTCAAGGAAGGAGACTTAGTCATGCTGGATACTCGTCGCATTTCTTCCGCCCATGTGACGCAAGACATTGATGGGAAACGAGCTAAGCTCGCTGCTCGCAAGATTGGACCATTCGAGATTGTGAAAATGATCAACCGAAATGTGGCCAAGTTGAATCTTCCGCGAATCATGCGTCGTCTGAACCCCACGTTCAATGTGGACGTGTTGAGTCATTACGTTGAAAACCCGTCGCATTTTAAGACTCTTCCTACCCCAAAGGCCTCAAGACCGATTATTGACAACGACACTGGTGCAACGATGCACATCATCGAGAAGCTTCTTCGCAAGCGTCAATTCAATCGCGAAACATCACGGATTGCCAGATCACGAAGCAGCCTGGGAGCGCGAAAATGGCATCCGCCATGTGTCGCATTAGAAGGTTCTCGTTTCCGACTTCAACAAGCGTCAACGAGAGGTCAAGTCCGGGAGGATGTAACGACGCACCAGCGTCCCAGCCAGCGATGTCCATGACGTTGATACCAATGCGTCCTACTTTCCTCAATTATCTTTCTACTTGTCTTTGCTGACTGCCAACTGTCTTCTTAAGCTGCCAATGAGCGGCCAGGTAGACGCACGCCTGACCGGAAGGCAACCACCATGTTTGGACGAGTATTGCCAAACATGGAACTTCAATGACAGTCATTTTTTTCATTTGAATTCACTATGGAGATTCGACCTGGTTCAAATGAACCGCGAGTCACTACTACGCTACGCTACTTCAAGATTCGACTCCAGGACTTCTTAGAATCTAGTATAGTGAAATACATATACTCACATAGGATACCAAGGGAATGCAAACAAGCTTCCTCGTAGCCGACAAACAACTAACCTTTTCAATCTCACTTTCCAATTTATCTTCTTCGAGGCACATCAGTAGCCTCATACGCTTTACCTTCGAGTCCCCATCGTTGGACTCTCGCCGCCCTCCTCCGCTTCGCTCCTCGCCACGCGACTCTTCCCTCGTCGCTGCTCCTCTGCACTGTGCTCTTACCAGTCGTCACACAGCACAGGTAGTAACCCCCCGATAGACTTGAATGCATTTCGCGTACTAAAACATTCCCAATATATTACAGCATAGCTACAAGAACAAGTTAGATGACAGATACCGACTCAAGAAATGATATAGAAAACACTTACCATAACTACGAGTAGTATTGAGCCCGTGGGAAACTGCAAGTACTACCGCTCCGTGATTATACACCTATGGCAGCATACCGCCCGCCCTGCCGGGTCATTTTACTTCATAACAGCGGACTTGGGAAGCGGCAAGAGTGGGAGCGGCACGCGGCGCGTCTTAATCAGCCGTGCGGTGCGCTCGGGGGATCGAAGGAGGATTTGTCGCCGCAGTATAGCCGGCCCTCCGCGCGCCATCTTCTGTGCCGTCGCGGTGATTGTGTGCTGGGAGAGCAGGGATTTTTATTTTGAATTTATTAAGTGTATTCCCACGGGATGTCCCATGGGTAGCCCACGGGTCACGGCTAAGTTCGATTTTTATACCATTGGAAACGATTGGAATTTTGACGGTACAGTATGGAGCTAATCGAGGGTTCAGAGTGACCCATCATCTCCAAATCCACACAGAGATCTATTCTTGGCTAATCGAATTCTACTTCAATATTCCTTACAGCTTCAAATATTTAAAGACACAGGTACTAGAGGACCGTCCTAAAATACATTATAACACGTAAGCTATCGAGCTGTGACCATCACTCTGTAAACTTCACTTTGCATTTTCAAGTCGTAGCTTTAGAGCTGCAATTCCTACCGCAGCATAAGTGCCGAAGTATAGTTGGTGGCTGTCGATCACCATGAGTCCCCAACGATACTGATAAGACCGATACCCAGCTCGCTAGGTCGATATAAAGGCATCATAGAAGTCGTCTTAAGCGAGGAGGGGGTCTCTCCAATTGTCGTCATGAGCAAGGGGCTGCAAGGTGTTGTTTCCTTGACTGAAGTTAAGGATTAGAAGTAGCGCAGACTCCGAGGACACTTGAGGAGTCTCTCACGGAGTACGTAGCCTCCATGCTTATACATTCCGCGAGCGCCCGTAAACTAGCCGCATCCTGTTCGTCCCATTCTTCTTCAAAATAGTCCTCAACATCCTCTTCCTCCATGTACGTCAGTATGGACAGACTTTCGGGGATCTGGTCGCGCGCAACGAACAATTCAAGCACCAATGGTACATTTGATGCCATGCTAACTGGCTTTGCTTCAACGCAGTAATATGGAGAGTGACGATGTCCGAGACAACCTCGTGTGGATTTAATTGGCACCTTAACTAACACTGGGGGTTTCTGTCGCAAGTACACAAGCCTGTCCAGGCTTAACTCCGGCAGCACAAGAAGGAGCATATGGAGGAGAATGGATTGTCCTAGCGACTGAAATGCAAAAGTGCACGGTGCCGCAGGCCAAACTCACTGCAATTTTAAGGAGCATGGTGGTGTAGGGTGATACTATCGATGATATTTAGGGAGGTTTGATCGTGTATAATACCCCCCTATCAGTTCGTGGCATAGACTTTGAGCAGCTTACACCTGCTGGGTACGGGTCAAAGTAAATATTGTTCTGTGTCATTTGCTAAGAGTTGATTGCTCAGCGTGATAATAAATCACCAGTCTGGTCAGCTCTAGCTCCGCAATCTTGATTTCAGAGCAACCGTTGTTCTGACGACTTACAAAAGAATACAAATTACGACATTGTGGGAAGCGTGGATATATCCGGCCGACGCAGGCACACACGCAGCCTTGATGGATGAGGTATGCACCAGTTTCGTATATTATTTTCCAGTATTTTCTTAAGCGAAACTTACGTTTTTATCGGTGCAGGGCATGCGTATCGTGGGCGTATTGATGATTCTAACAGGTATCTTGTATTTCTCCGCGATCATGAGTTTCGTCGTCGACGGTATTCGAGCAAATATGAATTATCCGATATGCCCAAGAAAGGCGAGTCGAATGCTGCGGTGCAGAATCACACGGTACAGCACAAGCTCTACATGCCAATCCCTCATAATATCACTGCAATTTTTTTCAGCTTCTACTCGGATGGTCTGACAAGTCGATTTCTCTGATTCGACAAATCTGTTTGGCCAATACGAGCGAAAACGGCGGAGTCTCGCGGAAATCGAAAAATAAGCATTTCAGATGCGCAAAGAGAAGCTTCAAGGGACTCGCATCATTTCCCGAAAAGTAGCTGGGCCAGATCTGATGCCATCAATGATGGAGCGCCCTCACGCCAAGTATCATTATGCTCGGAAATCTTGCTGAAGCAAGGCGGCGTAACGAATCGATAGTAGCCAGACTTTGATAAGTTCTGATTGCTGTAGACCCACAAGCACTTCGTTTTCCAACATGATTTGGTCCTGAACTATGATAGAGCTTCTATTATTGTTCGGCTACTTAAGGTCTTAATGATGAGGGCGACGTCATCTCCTTACCACCCACAACTTAGTTTTACTTATTGAGGAAGAGATAAACACTAAACGTATGCATACTGTAGCGCGATTGCCGAGTAAAAGAAAGCTATAATTCTCCTATGGCGGTTAGACTGGAAGTGTTCTAGCAAATGAGTTTGGGCAGATCACTTATGCCGTCCAAAGACGGCAATTCTGGCACTTCCCCTTTAATTCGAAGTGCCCATCGACATATCCGGCCCGAGATAGCAATCTTACCTTACCCCTATTTTCTATATGACGGCGTTCAGCCGATATAGTGGATAAAATGGATGAAACCCACAATAACATCTTGAACAGCTCTGTTTTAATCAAGTAGTTTGGGGATGTCTTTAGGTGAATGTTGTTTGTGGCAACATCACTGTAAATTATGACTAGCCGGAGTAATTTAATGCGCGTGAATGTTGCCCGAGGAGTACGCCAGGCGCATCAGATGCCATATCGTCGATATCCTTCTTGTGGTCGCAGTGCGACTCGAACAGTATGATCGCGTATTTATAACAAAGCATCCAGGACTGCCGTAATATTTAACCAGTGTAAATCCAGAGCTTCTCCGTGTAAAGCACGGCTTTCCATTAAAAAAATAATCACGCTTTACCCTCGAGCACCTTAATGTCCTAACCGACGGTACTGCAATATCATCCGGAAGATTCCCTCCTGCAAGCACCGACATTGACAAGTGTTTCGTAGCCAAAAGAGGTACGGAAAAGTGCGCGTACCTGGGTAGTAGTAGCCAAAGTTCAGCGGAAAAAAAACCGGAGGCTATACTATTTTTGGTACCTTCTCATTGTAATAAGAACCGAAGGATAACAAAGGGGTACATCCACAAACAAATCTATGTTGGGTTTTGGCCATAAATGAGCGAGAAACCAGAGAGAAACAGCAATGCCCCCAGCGCAAGTGACATCTCTTTTAGTGTTTGAAGGAAGTACGGTGTGTTGTTTGAGCAGGAGATAATAGAAACGTTTTCATTTCGATTATTTCGTTTAGAAACCTGATTTGAAAAATCTTTCAACAATTAATATTCTGTAAATGCCTATACAGTGGATTCCGTCTTAATGCTTTTACTAGCCACCTATTAATAATTTATCTGTTAAAACAAATCCGTATCAGACTCGATTGCCATTTTGACGCACGATTCCTTGACTCACAGGTCGAAGTGACCAGCAACTCAGCTGCATGGATACTTTCGTGCGTGTGTCGAACTCATCCATCCATTTTGCCCAAAAGAGAAACACCACAAGCGTCCTCACTGACACGATGAAGTTATTAGTGCTAATAGCTGCTGCACTGTTGAGTTTGGCCGCCGCCCCCGTCGCGGATGCTTCGCTGCACCTGCGTGTTCACATTCTGACCGAAAAAGCGGGACTTTACCAGCAGTGCGAGTGGGAGAACAAAGCCGTCAAGTGCGAAGCTGGCATGTTCTGCCAGATGAAGGAGAAACACTTTGGCTGGTGCATGAAAAAGAGCCCGGGACTAAACGACCAGTGCGGCGGCAAGAGTACCGACGGACCGTGGGCTGTGCCCTGCAGTGACAGCAATCTTAAGTGCGTGCTCATCTCGGACCAGTACAGCAAGTGTCAGAAGAAGACCGACCGCGAGAAGGTGAAAATGCCCAACCACCACAAGGGCGCGGGCGTTGAGGAGGAGAAAGTGGCGCTCAACGAGCGCTGCAAATTCGAGAACGGCACCAAGGGCTGTGCTTCTGGACTACAGTGTGTTGAGGACAGCGACTGGACTGGCATGTGCATGAAGAAGGAGGCAAATGTCTACGACCAGTGTGCTGGCCAGGAAATACGTGGCCTTTGGAAGGCGATGTGCCCTAAGGGTGCACTCTGCCGCGAGTCCGACACATTCTACAGCCAGTGTCTGCCCGAGGCTGTGTCCAAGGCCATGGACGCGTAAGTGAACCACAGTTTTTGGGAGCTGGAAAACACGCACAACAATTTGTATGAAAAACATATGATGAACAATACATTGTGGATTCCATAATAACGCCCATTTTCAGGCGATCGAAACCTCTAAACTCCGATCGCATCAGGTCTTAATAAATTGTTCGCTTGTCAAGCCCTTACGTACCAGCACTTCCGGCTGCACTGCACCTTCCAATACGGCATTGGATTCGTCCGCATGCACATCTTCCTCTGCTACCTGGTCCACAGCGTACTCACTGGTGCGTCCAGTGTTCACAGCGATAGCATAGTCGTCCCATTGCACCACTTTCTCCTTAAAGTTGAGTACCAAACCAAATCCTTTCAGAAGATCTGGACCGAGAATCATAGCATCGGAACTGTCTTCGATAACTTCAAATCGATGTTTAATAGCTGCTCGTGGATTTAGCTTTTCAATTCGCAATTTCACGATGACTGACCCGCTTATGGTTACATCACCGCTCATGGTCTCGAACACTGCCGGCGACTTGGCGACAAATTTACCGCCCAGCGCTTTAATTGTATCCACTGTCGCCACATTGACGATACTTTTGGATGCTCCACTATCCAACAGAGCACCCAGAAGACACCATCTTGTAGCTGGACTGCAATTCGAAATGGCGCTTTTGGTCGCGGCAGGCGCTGCACCAGACCAACTAACTTATACTCGTTGTCATCCGACTCACTGTCGTCCGAGTCCTCGTAGATCCGAGGATAGTGCTTCTTCTTCGGCCCTTTTTCTACTGCAGTCTCACTCGGCTTGTACTCTTCCTTACGCTGCTTCTTTAATGTGAAGCACTCCTTTATATCGTGGGACGCAGTCTTGTGGAGTGTGCACCACTTTTCACCGTCAGTCTAAGCTTGTTGGTCGCTACTTGGCTTGTGCTCGCTACTAGTCCTCTAATGCGAGCTCTTGGCATGACGATCGTGGTGCCAATCATCACCGTTCTTTCGTCGTGAGCGCTCACGATCTGGCGACGCTTTTCACTTTTTTCAAGACGCTCGAAATAAATTACCAGGTCGAAAACTTTCCACACACTTCGCCTGAAGCGGCGTACGTTTCCTGCCACTCCATCGGCATTTCACGTTTTAAGTACCGTAGTTATTGAGCTTCGGGAATCTCCTCTGCATCGACAGGGAGTTCGGCAAACAGGCGAATGCTCTCTTTGACACGCGCAGCGAACTTGTGCACGGTCTCATTGCGTCGTTTCGTCATAGCCCAGAGCTCATTGTCTCGGTCCTCCGCAAAACCAATCGGCACCGACATAAGCCCTACATTTGAGTAGAAGGTCTCGAAACGCCTTTTCTCTTTCACCGCCTCAGCTTTTAACTACTCCACTTCAGCGGCGAGATCACCTTCAATGAGAATAGCCAAATTGCCTGCTTTCTGCTCATCCGTCCAGCCCTTCTTCTTGGCCAAGAATAATCCAGACTATAAGTTACTGCCGCTACTAGGATGTACACTAGAAGCTTTCCAACACCGAGTGGTAGTTCCCGAGAGTCTGAGAGAAGATCTTATGGATTGGTACCACCATAATTTGGGCCATCCAGCGGCCACGCGTCAATACAAGACAATGTGGTCGACATTTGACCGAGAATGGCTGTGTCTCTATCCACGACCACGCGAAGTAGTGCACGACCAAGGATGTGAATTCACAGGCGCAAAGTTCCAGGAACTTCTCTGAAGCTACGGCATTAAGGCCAAGTCGATCACGGCAAAAACAAAACACAAGCTAACGCCATTTTTATACGCGTGTATCTCGAACTGCTCAATGTAGTTCGATGTTATGGCGATATGGACTGGAATAAGTATCTCTACTATGCTGCTTTTGCAGTGCGTGCAAGCTACCACAGTGTACTGAATGCCTCTCCTGCCCAAGTTCGGTTTGGACAGGACATGATCTCACGACAGCTCTACAAAGCCAACTGGAGCTACATGTCTAAGCGTCGGTTTATGGCTATCTTATCCGACAACAATCGAGAAAACGAGAAGCGCCTGGAGCCCTTCTACAACGCGGGAGATCATGTCATGATTCGGATTCTAACGCAACAACGGAGCAAGACTAATGCAGTTGCTGATGGACCGTACATGATCCGTCAAGTACATGACAATGGCACGGTCACAGTCGACCGAGGCTCATCAACACAGCAGATTAGCATATGACGAATTTTCCCGTGCTAATTCACAGCTTCATGGGGGGAGAGTGACATGTATGTGTCCAGGCACACGTACATTACCATGGTGGCGTACGAAAGCGACAGGAGCTGCAGTGCAGCGTCCCCACCAGGAGGAGGAGAGGGGACGTGATTGATAAAACATGCATAATGAAGCTAGGTGGAAACACAGGAACGTCAGGAGTAGTACAAAATATCTAGCTATTGATGTTAATTTCATTCTCACTTTTATCTCTTGAAAGGAGAGTCCTGACACTGGGAGCGCCCTCTGCAAGCCAAGGCGTGTCACTTTGATTAATCAAATTTCCGTTGCAGATAGCATACATACCCCGAACAAAGTCGCCACTGGGATGAACTATCGACGCATGCGGGTATGTTCGACAATCCTGTGGTGGTATAGGTTCCCGAGTCGGTTTGCCGTGACCAGAAGCCGCAGTGCATCGTTTCCGAGTGCTCCTGTACTTTTCAGGTGAAGGAATACCTTCAACACGTTGTCGAGCATGTTGACGGAAAGCAATATCTACTTTACATTTAGTACCAGTGTGGTGGCAGCGCGCGTACCAGCTTTTTAACTATTTCCACTTCTCTTATATTCTCGGCTTTAAATTAGGCTACTCCAAGGCCTTGCTGGAGATGCTTCACGACGGAATGATGTCTCCAGCCGGTTTGAGTAAAACCATGGCATTGATTCGTAGCCAGCGTCAGACTCGCTACTACAAGCTGTACATGCAGTTTGCGGATCGAGTTCGTCGGTTGCGTGTGTGTCTAATTCCATCTACGTGGCCCACCTAACGTGACCGACTACTGCACTAATCGCGCTGTAGTGGACAGCAAAGTGCTAACTTCAGTATGGATGGACTACACGGTCATGTACAGCTCGTTGTGTGAGCTTTTGATCCAGAATATGTCGGTTCGAAAGGTACTTCGAGTGGATCATTCCGCCAAATTTTGCAAGTAGATATATGTTGAGGAGGGTTCCGGTCAACGAAGCAGTATATAAGATGCCAAGCTACTACTACTTGTGCAGAACGAGATAGGGCAAATTGTTGGCCGTCGGCTTACCCGTTCGGAGAACAATGAGGATACAGCTACACTTCTCCAGTCTATAAAGCCAATCGTGAAAGCTGATGAAGATGGAGACATCTATTTAATGAGTGACAATGCGAATAGTGTACGTGACATGGTGCAAAGCTCGTTTGAAGGCGTGGTACAGGTCAGGCAGGACCCATTTCATGTCATGATGAGAATCAAAGAAAAGACTCCGAGCAAACAACGAAGAAGATACATATTTCGAAGGAGTTCATGGGTGCCATGTACACTGTGGATAGAAAGTTGCGTCCACCGAAAGAGATGGAAGAGAAATTTCGCAGCATCACCGGCGCTGTTACTGCTAACGTTTTGTTGTGTTCAGAGACGATCTGACATGGGTGCGTCGAAAGCAATGCTACACAGATCCTAAATGGAGATTTGTTTGTAGGTAATAATGACTACGCGGAAGCGCACACCACAACGCGGATAGTGTCACCGAGCTAGCTCGGAGGCTTCCACTATGGGCTCAAAACGCTGCTTAATCGCACCGTATCAACTGCAGTTGCTTTACGAATACTCGACATCTTCATCGTCCAACATGACCTCAAAATAGGAGTGAATTTTGGTAGAAATTGTTCATTCGGTGACTTCGTCTTTGAGTCATTCGCGCACCCTGCAATGCTCAGTCAAGGCACGCTTCACGAGTCTCCCCAGCTTGCATTCATTACTCACATTCTCTCGGATCCACTGCCTAAACCGTGCTATTGCTCAATCTCTCCATTTGACTTCGGGGTCTCGCAGTGGCTGAGAGTATTTGGCAGTGCCTAAGTCGCACCAGACAATATTGAAGCCGTTTTGGCCCGACCTCGGCGGCAGAGGCCGTCAATTCGTGATCTTCTACTTCTAAATGCGACCTATACGAAGGCGCATCCTGTCTCTCCCTCGCAATTCATGTCCCTGTTGCACCTCGAGCCCCGAGACCCCGAGTCGTCCGATGGGTTTTCTTTGGAGGAGTACGAGCTCCTACGCCAAGTCCGACGAGAACAAGAAATTGAGGTGTGTGGTTGGTCGACTTGTCCGCTGGTAACAACCGTAATGTTCAATATTGCTATCGACACCAGCACCAACACGAGCTTCAATCTGAGGCATCGTAGCTACACAACCATCGCGACATAAAAACTTCATTGCTGTCGTTATGAATAGCCTTTGGCTTCATATACCTTTAAGCTCGAGTGATAAAGGTGATTGCTCCAGTAAAAAACGTCTCCTTGTTCAGCCACAGCGGCAGCAGCAGCATCCGACAGGCCCCACCGCTTTACATTCCATCGCAATCGCCCCAAAATTGCATACCTCATTACGAACGGACAAGCTTTCTAAATCCAGCTCTTTTAAAATTCTCCGCGATTCAAAACTTTTCACAAGCAAGAATGATCAATTTATGTGTCTGTATGGGGGGTACCCTTTCCTCACCGGATCGAATGCCGTCTGAACAACAGAAAGCAAAAATCAAACTGAATTCACAAACATTTAGCTACTGCTGGGCCTCACACAACGCCTGGGGCCCGTTCCCGCTACGAGGGACTTCTCTACTTCAAGTGACGACAACGTCGCCGCCTATACACGGCAGGCGTCCGACCAGGACTCCGGAAGTGTCCAGAATAACCAGCACCTAGAGTATACAGAGCACCTGGAGTATACAGTGTACATGCACTAGCACTGTATACAGCCAGATCACTTCCCCCCTCGCGTCGTGTGTGGGTGCATCAGCGC